TCTAAACTCTTAATTGATACAACGTGCATTTGTAAGGCAATAGAAACATCAATACTAATTAACAATTCCAAGCCCTTTAGACCCATTACATTCAACAATATTGGTTTTCTATCGGCAATAAGGACGATTCTCCCAATAGAAATAACATTTTGGACCAATACGGGAAACCATTAAAGTAATGGTCAACCTTTTACGCGCAGGATCTCTCGCCTGTTAATGATTTCATAAATATACTATTAATTATAATCTGTGGCCTGTCAAGAATAATATTTAAGGGGCCGATTTTTATATTATTATCTTCTATCTATACTAATATTATAAAGAGGTAAAGTTTGTGATCTTGTGAGTTTGTGAGTTTGTGACGTTGTAGGGGGTAATCTCTGGATCTACTGAACCGATTTTCAAAATTCTTTTACCAATAGAAAGCCACGTTCTTTCTGAGTGTCATAGGCTATATATTAATCCGAAAAATGAAAAGGCTTTTTCGTGGTAGTCGGATTTGCAAAGTAAGTCGGAGAAAAAACGGTCGAACGAAAACGTTTCTTACGAACGCTGCTTTAACGATTAGAGATATATGATTATGTTCTAGAGAAAATTTGTAGAGCTTAATAATGCCTACAAAAAAGTCAGCGACAGCATATGTCTAACTTTTATATTTAAGTCACAAAAAGTAGTTTTTTATATTAAAAAAATAATTTAAATCGGTAGGTCATGTTTATTGGTTATATTATCAACAATTATGAATTCTTATCAAAATAAGTAAATTTATCGTCTAAATTGTTTAAAACGAAAGACTTTTCCCTTTTACTGCATATAATTTGGACAAATGGTTAAAGAGATAATACAACATATTCGTATGTATGGACGAACCCGAGCGAGCTGTTTGTCTGTTTTTCTCTTTGTACGGGCTAATCTCCGGATCTATTGGACCTATTTAAATGAAATTTTGCATGGTGGTACCTTATATCCCCGGGCAACATCTTAGATACTTTTCATCCTGGAAAATTAAAGGGTTCCCGTGGGATAGTTAAAAAACTATAACAACTTATACATCTTAGTACACAAAAACTACTGATTGGATTTTAATGAAACTTTACAATAATATAGTTCATATATAACAAAAACAAATCAGCTACTTTTCATCCCGGAAAATTAAAGAGTTTCCGTGGGATGTTCAAAAAACTATAGTAACTTATACAGCTTAATACACTAAAACCACTGATTGGATTTTGATGAAAGTTTACAATAATATAGTTCATACATCAGAATAACAAATAGGTAACTTTTTATCCCGGAAAAACGTACTTTTCCCGTGGGATAGATGTTTTTGTTTATTTGTAACGTATTATGTACACAACATAGACCCCAAAACAATAGTTATTAAAAAAATGTCTGTTTGTCTGTTTGCCTGTATGTCTGTTTGTCTGTTTTTGTGTGCGCGGTTCACGCGAAAAGTAATGTAGGTACCAATTTCAACGAAATTTGGTGAAGTGATAACTTATTACTCGAGTCAACATTTAGGATATCTTTTGTATGTATGTATGTATGTTTGTTGTATTCAGCCCTTTTTAACACACGCACGGGCCTCCCTTCAGTACGAGGTGGATCAGGCCATAGTCCACCACGCTGGCCAATATCAGAGGTGCTATGCCCGGGATTTGAACTTGCTTCACTCGGTTTCCCAAGCGAGCGCGTTACCACTGGGATACCACTGCCTAGATACCTTTTACTTAAAGAAAATCTTTCTTTCCCACGGGAAAATATAATAACTGGTTTTATCGAGTCCTCCCTAGAAACCTTCCTCTGGCTAAGCCTTAAGACATACATCAAAACAATATACTAAAAAATTGTAGGTCTTGAAAAGTCCTACAGAAAAGTTCTGAATAGTATATGTCTATCTCCTAAGTTACACTCGCAATATTTATTCTTATCTATACCTATAATAAAACTTAGTCAAATCGATGTGCGCGTTTCACGCAAAAAGTACTCAACCGATTTTAACTTCATTTTGTATAGTGATAAAACTTAGTGCTCGGGTCAACATTTAGAATACTTTTTACGACAGGCAAATTATTCATTCATACGGGAAAATACAATAAGTGGTTCTATCGAATTGTCCTTAGAAATTTATATGGCTAACGTTGGCTCAACCTTAAGAGATAGATCAAAACATTGTACAAGAAAATTGTAAGTCTTAAAAAGGTCTATAGAAAAGTTCTACATAGTATATGCCTATCTCCTAAGGTACACTCGCTATAACTATTTTCATTTTTATATATTTCTGTTTTATTATACGTTATTTATTCTATCTGAATATAGGTACATATATGAATAATAAAACTGTAGAGGTCGAATGTCTGCACATAGATGGTAGAAAAAATTGCTAAAAAACGAGTCAGTTCTCTTCTTACATCCCGTAAGAAGAGAAATAGAACAAATCCAGATTATTTAAATTTTTTTGTTTCTCTGTCTGTTCGTACGGGCTAATCTCCGATACTATTGAACCTATTTAAATGAAATTTGATACTTTTCATTCTGGAAAATTAAAGAGTTCCCGTGGGATAGTTAAAAAATTATAGTAACTTATACAGCTCAGTACACAACAACTTATGCACCTAATTTAGTAAAATTTGGCATGCTGATACCTTATATTGCAGGTCAAACAACAGGTTACTTATTTTTATCCCGGAAAAATGAACGGTTCCCGTGGGTTAGATCTGTTTGTGATTTTCTAGAGGTGAACCCGAGCGAAGCGAGGGTGAGCCGCTAGTATAATATAAAAATGAATCGCTGAATGTGTTGGTAAGCGCAAATCTCGAGAGCAGCTAAACCGATTTCGCTAATTCTTTTTTTAGAATATTCCTTGAAGTACGAGGATGGTTCTTACGAAGAGAATAATTTAAAAAATTGCCTGGAAAAGTTCAAAAACAACACTTTTCTAGACTCCCATACAAAAGATTCGTAATAATACTTAAAAGACAATTTGAACTTTAATACCATAACATAAAGTTTAAGTGTTAGTGGATAGGTTCCGGGAAGGTAAAACATTGATGGCAATTGAGTGACGTGAGAATCGTATAAATATTAATGTCAATATTTGTCAATATTATTAACAAAAAAAATTTAAATTTATATGGCTAACGCTGGCTAATAATTGTTTATATCTATTTTAAACGTACCTAGCGACACACCCGAACGAAGCGAGGGTGAGCCGCTAGTCTATAATATTACCTAGAGTTATTATTATCTATGTAATATTTCCCTTACAGAGTGCACAAAGGAGACATTGTTTCTGCCTAGTCCACATTTTTTGTAAACAAAGAATTCAGTTTAATATTATACTTTTTATCATAAAATAATAATAATTAAGAGCCAAAAGCCTGTTATTTCCACTTACTGGTGATTTTGAATATACTCGTATTACTTAGTGTATTTCGTCAATGTATCCTACTTTATGATTCATTTTTTAAAGGGAACTTGATGAGTAACCCTTTCGAAAATTTGAAAAGGGCTGCAAATACCCTGCGAGTGAGTCATGATGTGAATAAAGACAAGTAAACCTATGCTTTGTTAAATTATTTAAAATAGTAACACTGAAAAAAATACTTAACAAATACATAAAAAATACACATTTTTTTCTATTAAAGCCCAGACGAATGACTGTTTAATTATTTATTTTATTTCTTTGTTTTTGTTAGCCTGTTTTATTATTTCTTTGTTTCTAAGTAAATAATCTTATTATCAGAGATATCAATATTAAAGGTTTTTTTTTTATTTATTATGTACAATGTACATGGTACAGTAAATAAAATTATTTGCCATTATTATGAAATAGTCATTAGTATTTTGAATCCTCATACCCAGAATATTAATAACAAAAACGTCTTTCACATCCTAAAAAAGGGATCAGTGCATTTTTCTCCATCTAAGAAAATGTTCATTTTGCGACCTACTGAACCCATTGAAACATCAGAAGAAAAACTCTAGTTCTTATTACATAGGCTATAAAAGCTATAACGCAACGAAAGATTTTTCATGTTTATTCTCAGTTTTGA